GGGGGGGAGGGGGAGATCCAGATGGATTTGTACATACACAGATTAATTTTTACAACAGAAAAGAACTGCATTTCTATTCCTTGTTGGGTTTGTTTTTAATTCTGTCAGTTAATTTAATACACTATTCATGGTATAAATAAGCAACAATCACCCCTCATAGACTCAAAGGGTAGAACCTAAGTATAGTAGCAACATTAGCTTCTGTCCAATGCACTTATTGCTAACTACAGCCACTGCCACTCCAGTTCTGGTGCAGAAATGCATAAAGCAAGACCCAAATCAATTCAGGATGTCATTCCATTTGTCCATTTCATCACAGTTTTACTGCATGAGCCAACGAAGCTCTGTTCTCTCAAGAGTCACTGTCAATGTGACAGTAAATCACTTAAAAAAAAAAAAAAATCTTACAATTATTTCCAAATAAGAAGTGTGTCCATAAGCAGCCTCAATTTTTTTTTTTTTTTATAATTCAGGGGGGGTTTTCTGTTTTTTTAACTATTTTTTCTTTCCTGTTCCTTTATAGAAACTCCACAGAAAGAAGGAAATTTACTTTACAGATTGATTTTCAGGGAAAGCAATGAATCTGTGTAAAAGCGCTATCACAGAGTAAAGAAACAGAAAATAATGGAAACTTGCTCCTCCTATTTATTGCCAGTTTTAATAATATTACAGTTAACTGTAACAAAAGGAGAACACATATTTTAAGACAAAAGCGTGCTTTCAGAGTTGGTCATAATTCATAAAATGATAGATTTCATCTGTAGTTCAATAAACATCAGAATATCTGGCAAAACTCTTGAATGAAGAGTTGCATGCTGCGATCAGATAGACATGCAGCACTGAAGCCAAAGGAAATTGTGGCTGTAATCCTGCAACTGAATCTCTGCAGATGGCATCTCCATGCAGTAAATGGGGCTTCCTATAGGTGCAACGGTCTGCTTCTGCAGATCTGAGATCTGAATTGGGAAGAATGTATGTAGCTGAAAGTCCCTTGAGCCGTTAGACTCTGGCTTTGCACAGCACTACTGCATTGTAATGACTACATTTAGAAGTAAATGAATGCAGGGTATGCATAAATAAAATTAAATATTTGTGACGTGGCATTGTGTCTCAGTAGATACAAAAATTCTACCTAAAAGGATACTATTCTATTTCTTTAAAGCTTCCATTCCCCCCGCAAGCTGATATGAGAGAAATTGTCCTCTCTCCAGACTTTACAACCTGCCCTCAAGTCCTGAATCTGTTCCTCTTCAAAAACTTATGTGCATTGTTCCAGTTAAAATTAGCATTTCTCCCTGCCCAGACTGAACAACTGAAAAAGGCTTGTCACATACAAGCACTAAGCTACAGCAGTCTATTCTCATAACTCTAACTCAGAAGTCAGGCTCAAGACTCAAGGACATATCAAATAGGCTTGTTTCTGATTAGGAGTGCTGATATCGTAATAGCAATGCCACTTTGGGGAATGCTACACTTCTGCCTAAAATGCTGGACTTCTCAGTGTCATTCAAAAACTAAGGCTTGTGCTACCAGCTCTGCTAATGACAGCAGAGTTACTACTCCCCTGGTAAAGGGTAAAACAAAACCAAACCTGCACTCTGACCACCTTCCTTATCTTAACTTTTTTTGCAACCTGTTACATTTATGGTTTTCCTGCAGAGGCAATCTGGACAAAAGTATGTCTTCTCCTCCAGAAAGGTGTCATAAAGTAGTTATTTCTCACACCAGATCTCAACTCTTTGCCTTCTGAAAGAGTCTGTTCAGACATCAACATTAGTTGCCTCCAGAGTTGCATCAATGACAAAGGAGCACTCCCCTCAAAGCCATGACACAAAGCCATGCCCAGGATTTGAACCCAAGTCCCTGCTACTTCTACTAAACAAACCCATTGGACTTTTTTTTTTTTTAAGGAATTAAATCTTGGATGTCACTTTTTTCACTTCTGACCACATACACAAGCTCCATCTACATTTGCATTAGTCCAGTGCTGCACAGATTCATGTTGCTTTACTAAGGAGTATTTAGCTACCAAATGAAGGGAAAACTCAATTTACATGTTGCTGTTGATTGTATCATGCACTAAGACTTAAAAATAAGAAAGTGAACAAAATAAAAAGAAAAGAAAAGGAAAAGCACCTGAATGGTTCTGACTCATGTACATCTAAGGCTGCCCCTCGTATCCTTCCTTCCTTCAGGGCCTGTGCAAGTGCTTTTTCGTCTACTAACCCACCTCGAGCTGTGTTGACCAGGAAAGCCCCTTGTCTCATCTAGGGAAAGTTAAAAACAAGAATGATGAAATAAAAATAAATGAAATAAAATCGTTGTGGCATTATTTTTTACTCAAAAGAAGCATCCATTACAACAAAGGCTATTCAGCTGATTTAACCTGTAACAGTTGTCTTCCCTTTCCATTGGAAAGTACCACAAAATGCGATGCTTCTAACATAAAATGCTATTTCACAGCACTTAATAACCTTTTGTTTCTTGTAAGTAGTGTCTTTTAATAGAAGCGTTGTTTCAGATATTGTGCAGTAACATGATCAAAAGATACAACTGTGCATATGAAAGTGACAGATCATTTTATGCCTTTTTCTTTCACTGTGAAATCGCATGAGACAGAAACTACAGCACATTCTTAAACAAATTCATATTTTGTGGTTTTCAACTTTCACACAAACAAAAGCCTGCATGAATTTTTCAGAAAAATCAATGCTTTTGGATTTTCAAACACTTTTCCCTTTAGTTGCCAAAACACAGTAGATCTATGTTTTATTTATTTTTGTTACTTCAGCTTCCTCCTCCCTGTGAGACTTTTCAAATAAAGGTCTAAAGAATTCTTACATTATTCAATTAAAAGGCATGAAAATGAATTTGGTTGAGAACGCTGTGTGCCCAGGAGAGAAGCTGTGCTGTGCATTGTGCAGATTAGCATTGTAGATGACACTGTGTGGGGAGAACTACAAGAATTTACACCATAATATATCCACAACTTGAAAACAAAGTGGCGGGTTAAATAAGAGAGATGGTACAGAAAAAAAAGAAATTACTACATCCTGCTTCCAGCCACCCTAATACTTCATCTTTTACCAGATGTCTCAACCACAGCTTCTGATCTCAGAAGCATTTCTGTGCATGAAGCTAAGCATATGAAGAGCAGGAATCATGGTGAAGATGAATGATAAAAATCTCATTTTGTACTGACTCCATCTCTCACCAGAAGAACAAGAAAACCGCAACATTTTGACACCAAGTCAACTACTTGAAACCTACACATCAAACTAAAGCTTATGTAAATGGATCCTTACTCAGAAAGACTGATTTGAAATGCCAAATTCACGAACGACAAGGAGGTTTGGATGAAAGTCAGCTATGAAAATTTTTTTTACATGAGATCATAGGAATATTAAACAATTAACACGCATATGCTTGCAGTAAGGCTTGCAGAAAAAACCCCACCATATTTTACTGGCCAACTCACTAGGTTTAGTGTGGCCCTGCCTCTCTCTATTTGCAGACTCTTGGGCTTACAGGAGAACCATCTATTGGTCTGTATAGTAAAACCAAAGTCCACTTACAGGAGCAGAACTAAGGGATACTTCTTTCAGTTTTACGTAATTAACTTGGGAATTAGAACAGTGAAGAAATGGTGGCATGATTTTAAGTTGGTCTAGTGACAAGAAGACATTCCTGATGGGAACCATCACTGCATCTCCGCTACTTAAGTCAGCTGTGAGAACCAGATCAAAAGTAGCACAGGAGGGCCCACCCAAGTGACAATCAGAGCTGCTGTGCAGACATGCCATATAGGCTCGTGGGAGCTCATATACCCTTCCTACTTCTGTGCTCTTGCAAATAGATAATTTGAGTTTTAAGTATAGCTTACTGTGTTTATATGCCTTTTGAAGGACCTGAAAATTTTAACCAAAGTGAACCCTGCTAAAATTTTCTGTCCAATCTTAATAACCTTGCTTGAGCTTTCATTTTAGGACTATTTACAAAACTCTAAAGCCAGTACTAAGACAAGTCCAAATCACACAGAACATGGCTGCATAAATGCATTCTATTGGGAATGAATTATGTAACTCATGATAAACTATAAGGGTGGATGATGCAGCTGGAGATGACCCTTAACAATGGGTGGAAGCTTGAAACAGCTTCACAGCTAGAACTGCTGGCAGCTGTTAAATTCACCTCCACTCAACATGCATAGCTGCTTTAAAAATGTACTGCGTTTAAATTGCGGCATCTGTTTCTCAAATCTGTAAAACTAAAGATGACCGCAGCTTCTCTTAAGAGCACTTGAATACCATGGGTTCAATAAACACAAGCTTGAAACACTTCTCTGAGCTACACTGGGTCTACAAGGCCAAGCACGATGGCCAGGCAGAATGCTGACTAATTAAAGGGAAAAGCTACCGAAAGAGAAGACTGACACCAAATTTTCAAAGACATTTTAAGATTATGTAACTTCAGATTCTAAATAAAAATTCAGGGTGAGACTTCAGTGAAATGAGATGCACCATACTTCTCTGTACTTTGTTTAAAAACTGGTTACCACGTGAGCATGCAGTATTGGACAAAAGTGGCATGCAAAGCTCTCTCAAAATTTTAGGCCAACTCTAACATCTGTCAGCCTAAAAAAAACTATTCTGCTCTTTTTGATACATATTCAGAAGATCTGCTCTATGCAACCTAAGCAGTCGGGGGTGTTACGATTTTATGATTTTCACATCAGCTGTTACAATACAGACTGCTTCATCTGAACTTTTATCCAAAGGCAGAACTATCTTCTAACATTTTAATCCTTGCTTTAATGACGAAGGATAAGAAATAGCAAGATAAATGCTTATGACATCCTTTCCAGTACAGGCTTTATTATACGCATTTCATTTCAGATGGTATCACTCAGTTTTAACCTGTTTTGTTTTGCTTGTTTCTCTGATTAATGCACTAAGTCCTCTCCAAAGCTCATCGCATTTATGCACCTCCACTTAAAATCTTCCTGTGACACACTGTGGCCCAAGTTTCATAGATCCACTGTATAATGAGTGACCATTGCTAAGCCTCCAGACAGTCCCACTGAATTCCATGTCATTCTGTTTGGGTCTAGATGCCTGCTTGTAAAGATATCTAACCATGTAATAACCATTAAATGTACCTGAGCACACAACAAAAGAGAACGTTCAGGGCAGGGTGACAGAGCTCTGTTTTTTTTCCTTAATTTTTTAGAGTTTTAAATCCCAAACCCTGATTTTATGTTGGGATGGATCTGCAAAATCCCTAAACTGTCAAATTAAGAAGTGTGTTATATTGTCGATTTTCTGCCATAATCCTACATGACTGTGGAACATGTTCAGTAATTACTTCAGTTCTCCTAAAGTTCCAGAGTAGTAGGTGCAAACTATTTCTCAGAAGCCAAGCAATGATTTTACTGCAAAAGAGCGCTACTGGCATTGTTACCAACACATACAAACACTACATATATAAAGAACAGCAAAATCAACTATTGTATCTTAGAGTTTCTTTCCTGTACGCTATCTACATTCTCACATCTCAACATTGTATTTCTTGCTGTTACCTGCACTGAGGTTGGAGTTAGAAGCTAGACATTTAATGAAAAAGCTTACTATCAGATTAGTCAATAATGGAGCAGTTATTACACCTAGATTTTGAAATTATTTTAATATTACCTAAAACTTTAGGGAGAGGTTAGTACTAATTCCAAGAAACATTGTTTTTCCAAATAATGCAATGCTGTAAATGTGATCCATCCATGAAGCGCTCTGCAAGCATCAGGACTGAGCACAGGGGGGAGCCATTTAGTCATAATCCTTAAATTGCATCTAAAGAACTCAAACTGAGGAACAAGAGTGAAAGGCAGAATTGCTACCTGAAAACACACAGGTAAAGGAAGTAGCTAGTAGAAGACATAGAAAAAATGCTTTTACATAAACGTGACTTTATTAAATCTGAGCAACATTAAGAAGAGCAAATTATTTCCACAAATGCAATGTTACTGAGCAAAAAAGACAATAAAAGCAACAATACATAAGCCACCAGCTATTTCCTAATCAGTTATAAACCTGCTTGATCTCGAAGTAGCAAAAGGGAAACATCTCTTTCAAATGAGAATCTGCCTGTTTACATAAACAAACGCTATACAGTGTCAGCCACCAGCACCGGTGTGGAGGGCACCCACAGAGATTATTACCTGCTTTATGGTGAAGTCATTAATAAGATGATGATTGTGTTCATTCAAGTTGCAGTGCAGGGTAACACAGTCACTGTGGAACAGCAGGTCCTGCAAAGTGCTCACCCGCTGCAGTCCCAGAGCACGCTCCATGCCATCTGAGAGGTATGGGTCATAGAAAATCACACTGAAGCCAAAGGCTTTGGCACGTAGTGCTACTGCTTGCCCAACACGCCCTAGAACAAGACAAACATGCAATGAGAACAGATGTGAAGCAGCTAGCGTAAGGCAGCCTCCTCCTCTCTATTGCAAATGCTTGTACCAAACCATACTGTTTTGTACAGCAACTGGAAGAGGATAAAAAAAGAGGCGGCTCCCATCCCACTTGAAATCATCGCTAAGATCAGCAATGTTACACCGGGGCTGTTTCACATTGCCTTACTCAAAACAAAGCAGAAGGCTTGCACCTTTTGCAACCGTAGATATGAAATGCCAGAAGATGTCACGTAATCTGCAATAATCTGTGTAATACAAGGGCTTGCCTGCTGGGCCTGTTTATGGTAAAACACTACCGCTTGTGAACGCATCCTGCCAAGGACTTATTCTTACCCATGTCGGACCAGCTGGCTTTAATAAAAAGCTATAAAATTAATCCTTAAAAATGGATGCAATAAAAGATAATTTGTTTAATCTGAAGCTCAACTATTCTCAGTGCATGGAATCTCCTTTCTGAACTAGTATTTTCTTTCATTTTGAGTAACATCCTTTCAGCATTAAAGTACCAACAAGAATCCTGTCATCTAAGGCTTTAAAGAATTTTGTATCCATCTACCTAAATGATGAATAAATGCAGTCTATCTTATGGCATGTAGTTAAGAAGAGTGTGCTACCATTTGGTATTCACATAGACCTTAGCTTTTTACTGTTCCACTTCCCTTACTGTCATATTTCAGAGTTGTGCCTGATATCGCTGTTTGGGCATGACTCCATGCCACATGTACCAGGAGGCGTGCGTTTCCCTTTGACACACTATCAGTAAAACACAGAGAAAAAAAGTGAGTGAGAACATCTAGTGAGTAAGGGTATTTGGAAGAACGAGAACTAACATATTTTTCAGGTTAGAAGACTACACACTAGATACTCACGTTAAGAGTATTACGCATGTTAGATAAAGATATTTCAAAAGCATCACTAGACACACCATAATAATCATGTCTCATTTAAAAAAAAAAGTCAACAAGTTTTCTCTTGTAACATCTGAGCTTGTTCTAAAAAAGCATCAAATTAACACAGGGAAATCCCGTCTCTTTCCAATTGTGCTTGAAGGGATTTCCCTCTGCTTTTCAGTTTCTCTTTGAATAAACTTAAGAAGCCGCAGAAAGAAAGGTTTTTTGTTGATCATTTAACCTGAACACAGCAATTCTGCAGTGCTTAGTGACAGATGTGCCTGGAATATTAAACAGTATGTCAATCTGATGGGGGCTGTCTGCTTTTCTTTGGGGACACCAAGTTAAAATACTCCTCAAAATATTTTCTTTCAATACTTCCATACATGTAATTTGTTTGCTTTCCAAGCTGTTTTTTATAAACTTGAATTAGACAATTTGCAGCACAAATGCTGTATTATTTTCAAATTTTGGCATGTTCACAGCTCAAGGAATCAGTCACAGAACTGTAAACAACTTTTTTTTTCTTTTTAAACGAAGCATATCGCTTTTACTCCAGCTCCATTCATTTTCACATGCAACATTCTGTCATCTGTTCTTTTTTACACTCTTTACAACACTAATACCTGAGGGGATTCACGACAGTGAAATCTCTTACAACAGACTCTCCAGTTAAAGCTACGCTTCCCATTCATTGCAACCAGGCTAATAAACCAAAGCCTTCTTCAATGTGTGCAAAGTTTCCTTCTGAAACACTTGGGAATTACATGCATGTACTTCTAACCAGAATTGTCCTATTACAATTATTTTATGGGATAAAACTCTTCTGCAATTGACAATTCATATTTAGTCTCAGTCATTAGACGAATACAAAGGTGGACACACGTAATTTGCCAATTCTTTTCAAACTACAGTCTGACAATATAGTACAACCACAAACCTATGACGGTTTTTTCCTTTCCTGAAAAACTGCTATTATAGAAGACTCTCCTGGGTATGAGGGGTGGCTCAAAACCTACCTCAGCATATCAAGAACAGAGCAGCACACAAAGCGTCCCACCTTTGGGACAACTCTATCTCAAAAGCATATACGATTGCTAGGAATATTCATGGTTGCTTCCAGGGAAGGAAAATTCTAAAGTTCAAAATATCAAATGAACTTCTTGTGGGAAGAATGCAGAAAATGCATGTTGCATACAATTGCAAAAAAAAGCAGAAAGCAACAAAAGCCTGTTTTAGAAACTAGAGATTTATATAAAGCTCTAGCAAAGTCCATGCCTCATTTCAGTGACACCAGAAGGATGAAGAGACTCATCAAAAATGCCTGGGTCTTCTGTTACACTCTGACCCACCTACTCCCCCCAAGTTTCCCTGTTTGTAGGTGTCTCTGACCTTGACCTTGCCAATGACCTGATTTGAGTGTGACAGGATAGTAGCTGCAGTTATCAGTGACCCCCGCCCAGCCCCTGGGCAGAGAATGAGCATCCTATGCTGCTATTACCGAGTTTTATAAAATGCCCTCGATACCATGGAAATGTCGATGACCGGCCTGCAGACTTCCGTGGAAAGAAGAAGTGCTTTCACTTAGCACATCTTTCCTGTCTAGGCAACAGTAATGGAGAATCTGGGTAATTTTTCCTCCCTCTTGGAGGACTCTGAGATCTGGAGAGTGCCATTCTGTTACATTTCCTGCCGAGCACATTAAGAGAGCTAGCAGGACTGCGAAGGGCACATCATTTATGGCATGGTAATACCACCCCAACTCTTAAGCTTTAATATTGTCCGATAGTACAGATCAGTACTTTGGCCAACATCTAGTCAGGACCGTGGGACTGCTGAAAGAATATAGCAGGTGAGGAAAGACAAACTGAGTCATGACATTCATTATGATGTGGAGATGAATTTATTTGGAGGAATTTCACCTCTCTTGAGTGAGGAAATGCATTAGCTATTAGTCATCAGCATTTGTAACTGGGAAGGAAGAGGAAGGGAGTGTGACTTCACTGCCTTCACTGCTGTAAAATTATCATTACAGCAGAACCAGGTCCAGCTACCTATTCATCCAAGTACTTACATGCTGCTGCTCATAAATATTCTCCTTTTTTTGAAAAAAAAAAAAATGAAATGTCTAGATATAAGGTGAAAAGGTAGCTTTTTTTATTTTTAAATGCAGGGCTTACTATCCAAGCTTGTGATGCATCACTTGAAATATGGGACACTGGATAGTAATAAAGATTAGAAGTGACAAAGACAGCTGTTTAATGATGTGATATTATTGTTTATGTAAGGCTCAAAGAATCACACACTTCATAAAGACAGAAAGAAACACAGGCTCTGCCCTAAGGAGCTCGGGCTAACAAAACAACAAAACAATGACGGATGGTATCCAACAAGCACATGAAGGAGGCATTATGCTGTTGAGTCTCTGCTTATCTTCAAGCTCAATACAAGCAGAGGATGAGAGATGGGGTTAACTTTAAAGGAGGAGCACGGAATAATAGGATTAAGTGGGATAGACCAAGTGTCAAAGCAGGAATATGCATGAGAAGAGGCAAAGAAAAGAGAGTGGTTGATGGAAAGGAAAAGGCAAGTGAGTCACAAAACTTGGCTAGACCAGTGGATAAGGAAGTGAAGCTTTGGAGGGAATGACATAGTCATTCCCTAGCACAGAGACAGGCAAGAGCTAGGGTGTTTCTCTTTGGCAAAACAAGAGAAAAGCCCAGGAACAGATGTGAAGAAGGTCTGGAGTTAGCTGTTGCAGCAGCAAAGTGATAAATTGAAGCAACCCACTGCTGAAGCGACCACAAGTTTAAGACAAGAATAGAGAAACAAAGCTGTGGTTGAGATATGCGACAATCTTAGACGCACATTAACGAGAAAGGACAGAAACAGTGATACTACACAGAACTAGAGAAAAGGAGGACTTAGTAACACGTGATGAGAATTGTTTGTTTTGTGTGCAATATATTCACTTCATAGCCTCTTAGTGGTTCGTCACTTCTGACGTTGACATGTCTAAATAATAAAATAATAAATTGAGGCAAAACTACAGATGTGGGAAGAGGCCACTAGTAGAGGCAACAGTCTTTTGAAGGTGGTTGTAAATACACATTTCAGTCTGAAACTAGAGACACGTAGCCTCTTGCAGTGATCTGTACTAGAAAACAGCATATATCACAGCCTAAGTGCCTGAAGTGCTCAAATATAAAGTCCAGTACGGCCCGATTTCCACATCTTCTAAGACTACATTTTTATTCTTCATTAATACATAGCTACATAGGAGTTTGTTAGAACAGGTCAGAATCAAAATGTTGTGCCTATTCACATACGTGCACAAAAAGAAACAGTGGAAAATTTCAAAACTGACTTTAAAACTTATTTTTTCTTGAAATTGTGAATATTATATTGTAGGAAAAGAAACAGGAACAGTAAAAGGCTAGAGAAAATGACTGGTTAATAACTGTAACAGATGTGTACCTTTAAAATCAAATTTTACCAGCCTTTTAATATCTCATGCACACAAAAGGCCTGCTTTTTAAAACTAAAAACAAACTAGTGTTTTACTTAGCTTTACACTCATATTGGCAATCTGATTATCCATTTATTTCTCCATACTTTTCAGTCATTCACAGGACAAACACCACACACAGAATTCACTTAAGGAAGTCAATAATGAATGACATTTTTTCCTAATCTCAGTCTGGAATTTGTGCAATACAAAAAATGCAATGGCAAGAGGACGAGTATCTCCAGCAAACATGCACGTAGCATGTGAGTCAAGGCTTAAGTTTCAAAAACTAGGTACGCATTTCCATTTTTAAAACACTGCAGGTGATTGTCTATTATTCACGTATAGATGCTGTGACTGTGAGTGCAATAATCATTGCGTGTTTAAATGAGGTGCATAATTACACGGGTACAGGTTTTAGAAAGCAACTTCTTGACTAACTTCTTGAAAGTCGTATTTTAAAGGCAATTCTTTGACTGTGAAGATGTTTCTGGTGTGTTGCATGCTCATTTAAATAAATACTGTGTAACACCAGGCTATATTCAGCTTCCAAAAGTAAGAGTTCGTGGCTTTAGTTATTTGACAGCAATGTGTAACCGGAACAGTCATTTAAGTATGATGCCTTGTTGTCAAAATCATACTATTAATTCCTGTGGATGAATATCACAACAATTACATCCACAATCTATCAGACCTTTGATAAGACAAGCACATGACTGAATAATTTTTATATAGAAACTGGCGTGCTTGTTTTTCTTCTCTACTTCTGTAACAGACAGTAATTAATTCATCTCAAGCAAGCCTGTCCATCTGTTAGATGCTGAAACACATTTAGGGCCATTCAGAGAGGTAAGTAGGTGATTTTATTAGGTCTGGAAACATTTCAAACTTTCTTGCATATATTTTTCCTCTCATTTGAGCTGAAATACAATTTCAGATGCAGCTCAACCAAATGCACAAAATAACTGCTCTGCAGGCTGTTACTGCAGCAAAGACTTTTCAGATATGTTAAAAACAGTAAAAGGACAAAAGCACAAACAGAACCAGATATGACAACAGATGGGAAATGCAATGTATACATGTGACACCGGGTTGAAGGAGCAGGATTTTTGTCCTGGAAAAGGGAAGTGATGGTGTCTCCTTCTCTTACTACCAGCGTGCCTGACACCAGGCAATACGGCAACAGAAAAGATGTACAGAAACTCAAAGAATTGAGGGAATATCAGCCACAAAATAAGTTTTCTGAGGGAAAAAGTAATGTCTAAGGGGCAAACATCTGAGACATATACACACCAGGAATGAAGTGGTATTATATTGAACGCTTGACACGGAAAGGAGTGAACCAAGCGTTCCATTTTTATAGCTCACATCTTCATAATTTTTTTAAAGCAACAGAGAGCGAGGAGTATTAAGCCACCTCTCAAGGCAACATACCTAATCCAATAATGCCCAAGGTCTCCCCTCTGATCCTGGCAGCTCCAGAAGCCACTTCCCGAATCTGTTCGACGCTTTGTACTCTCGTGCCTTCTCGCAAAGCCTGGTGAAGCCAGGTGGTTCGCCTGTACAGGTTCAGAATGTGGCACATGGTAGAATCTGCTGTTTCTTCTACTGAGGCAGCTGGCACATTACACACCGCGATCCCTGCAAAGAATGGGGGGAAAAGATACCAGTTGCCAAACGTTTCTTACTTTTCCCCGTTTAACAGCAATTCAGGAGCACAATGTTTAAATTTACAGATATTTCAACACCTGTTTTGCACAAATACTGGTTCTGACTGTAATGGCAGACAGAATACTTGACATAATAGTTGATAAGTATGTGCAAACATTTTTTCTGATTTTTTTATTACTATTTATTGTGTTTGCATACTAAGGCAAACAGTAAACGGACGATGGAAACCACAAAAGGAAAATACTGAAGGTGTCAAGATAGTTTAGAATACAAGTCTTGGTAAGCGCTTTACGTGCAGGCTGAGCTAGGTGTTTTGAATAGCAAAGAGAAATCTGCCTTGCTCTTGGACAGTGTGGTTAACGATCACTGTTTAGATTTAATCGCATGAGTTAGCTTTCCACCACTGAGCAGATTCCCTCCCAAAAGCTATCTATACAAGTTGTAAAAAAGATAAAATAATTTATAATGACAGCAACTCTTACAAAGCCCTCACAGGATGACTATTCGTATTTCCAATTCATGTATGGGTGATCATGACACAGGGAGGGACAATTTGTTTCATGTTGCACAGGGGTTTGTAGAAGTACGACAAACAGAATCCAAGTCCTTTCCTGGTCCCTCAAATTAAAGAGAGAACCCAGCTAACTGTCAACAGGGAAATATGAAATCTGCTTCTGCATGGCATGTAAAGATAATGGAAAATTAAGTCCATGTTCCTCACAGCTGAAAAGTTACTAGCTGAAAAGGGCATAATATCAAGCAGCTAAAAGACCACTACAGATTTCCAGAGACAATTGTGGAAGGTGGACTGATTCAAGACTCACAATATGCCTTTTTTACTTCAAAACACAGATCAGGCAACAAGTGATTGTAATTGCATGGATGCCATTCTGCTTTTTACCTTCAGTACTCAATATACAGCAGTTAAGCAAAATGTTTACTTGAAAAAGTATGTGTCCTTTTTGACTGGTCTCTCTTCATTCTTTCTATTTACTGCATGTTCTCTCTCCAGTTGTCAGCTCCCACAAATGTTTGTGTCTCAGTTCTGCTGACCAAGATCACAAACAGTATACAGTATAATTTCATGGGAGAAGAAAAGTGTTTTGTATACTAAAAAACACCCTAATATTGTTTTTACTGTCTAGTTGTTTGGGTTTTTACATAAATAAATATTCAATGAGTCCTCAGCTAACACCAGTATATCTTCTGAAGCAAGGAGGAAAAAACATTCTCTTCAATAACAGTAATAACAATAATCTGACAAATAATAAGCCCACACCACATTTATCTATGTTTTACAAATGCCTCCATTCTGCTGCCCAGCACTTTTTTACAGCTTTCCTTAGATCAGTAAAAACCAACACAAGGAACCTGCAGAACTGTTTCTCTTCTCTTTTGTGGAGATACAGTGTCTGCTGAGTTATTGCTCTTAGAATTACAGAAAGATAGAACAGCCTCATTTGCTGGAAGATTAATCTTGGCACCCTACTAACATCAATGGTAGGATGAAACTCACCATGTTTTAAAAATGGAAAAAAAAGCACAAGTGGGGGGAAAAGCACAAGACTGAAAAATAACATCCCTTTAAGAGCATCATATTAAACAGCTGCATTTGTTTATACAAAAAGTCCTTTTCGTGGAGCAAAAATGCAGGTTTAGATGGCAAAACAAATTGAATAAGCATGTCTCCTGATAGCTGGCATCAAGAAAATAACGCTTTAAAAGGAGCTTAAAGAGCTATATTACGTATTTGGGAAGAGAAATAAGGAATTGAACTCACCTTATACCCTCCTCCCTAATAGGTTTCCTTAGGAAATTTGGGGGAGAAGAGTCAGATAATTTCTCTCCTAAACTGTAGGCATTTCTTTTTCCCTATTTTCCCCCAACTTTAAAACCAGCTAATTTCTGAAAGGCAGAGACATGGTGAACCACAAAAGGCAGCAAGAGAGAGGCAAGGATATGAAAAAAAGAGACATTTCACCTAGGAAAAGACAGCACTCTCTCATCTCATATCCATCGCTTCTACGCTCCCTTCCCTTTCCTCTTGTCCCACTGCCTTCAGTGCTCTCGTGCATAGGTTCAATAGGAGCCAACGGGCACCACCTCCGCTCCCACTTCACTTGCATCCAGCTACACTCACAACTCCTACATATTTTCTAGTCAACAATTAATAAACTGGAGGAAAAAAGTAGACCAGATCTTAAAGATTTTATCAAAGAAACGTATGTTTTCATGCATTTTAGGAAGAGTAAAAGTGCTAACATGAAAACAATACATAATAGGAAAAGCTGGTAACAACACCACGAGCCAGCTCGATGAAAAATAACTCAAAAAGTTACTACAGAAGTTCAGGAATACGTCAGAATTTATGGTCTAACTCTACACTACATTTCAACAGTGTATCAAAGCGTTTTACAAAGAGCAATTAACTCTCCTATTACTTCCTTGAGATGCGTATTATTTGTACTAGTTCAACAAATGGGAAGTGATTGGTCCCAGTAGTGGTGAGTTAGTACCCAATTCCAACCATTTCACCCTAACTATTAAAATCACAGATTTTACACAGTAAGCCTTCCAGCATTTATTGGCTTTTGACAGAGTGGACAATTGTATTTCGTAAATACTGGAATGCACAAACAGGATGGATCCTAACTGTCCAACTCAGTCTAATCACAACATAGGAACTGAACAATTAGGAACGTGGCCATTTAGCATTTCATACAAATGAGAATTTCCCAAATCTGCTGTACTCCGGCTTGAAGAATTATGTGGATGCATTTAAATTATAAGCCTGGGTTACAATCCAGCATGGAGACTTGCAGAAACAGCCAACAAACCTGCAAAGATTTTCTTCTTATCAGGGATTCTCTGCACAAATCAGACTCCTGACTGGTCGGGGCCTTTGATCCGTAAGCAGGTTTTGATCTAGGATTTTACCCCAGGCCAATCTCTACGTATATACGTGTTTTCGGGGACTCACAACGCATGCACCTAACTGTGGCAGTAGTTACAATATGCAGGAACACAGCCTTGCATGCTTTCAGACCTGATCTGTTCTTTATAGAAACTCGCAGAGAAGTTGCTAGGCTCTGCCTGTGGTGCAAACTACACCACCATTAGAAACAGGTGATTGTTTTACTATCATTTACTGATAAACAGACCATATTACAGCTCCTCACTACGTCAATGGGGTTATTACTAGGACTAAGCGCTGTCAGATTGAAATAAATGTTTCCAAGACCTTCCCAGAGCATAATGGGAAACATACTTGGTCACCTCAATCTTAGAAAAGAAACGAAGAAAATGTAGACATTTATTCCGAGTGGTAGTTTGACCTGTAGATTATAGGTAAGAGACGGTTTATCCTGAAGTAAGAAGAGTACAAATCAGACTGTTGCTTTTTGCAGGGAAACATTAAGTGCCATCTCTTCATAGTTCCAGCATCTGAATTTATTCTGAAGCAGCAACAACTGATTCTCCTATAAAATCGATATTTCTGTTTTATGGAGCGGTTTAGTGCCAAGTCTCGTGCATCATAAATAAGTCTCAGACAGTTGATAATGATCTCATTTTTTATTCAAACAGAAGTAGTATGCCATGCTGATGGAATTATATTTTGTGATTGGATTACAGCAGTAGTAGTTAAAATACACAATTGGGGTAAAAAAGAAAGAGATGAAAAATTATGGCCTTAGTTCTTGGGTTTATATTGAACAGGCAGATTGTCATCCTGTCACAAAGCTGTTAATATTATCACTTAATTAACTAATGCTAGTATCTCCATAATGATTTTTAAACACTTTGATGAGAAAATTATACAGCTTACATACCACGTTAGTATAAATTATACAGAAACCATTAATACAACGACTTAGACGCTATCAGATTTCTGGAGGCAAGTATAAGATGTAAAATAATGTCTTTAATAGTCATACCTAAATCTCCAGCAGATTTGATGTCAATATTATCAAAACCACTGCCAATTCGGACAATTATTCGAAGTGCTTTAAATTTCTCCAGGTCTTCTCGTGTTAAAGTGATAGTGTGATACATCAGTGCACCCACTGCTTCATTTAGTACCTATAAATAAAATGGAAGAAAGAATACTTATATTTTTTTTCTTTCATAGGATCTCCGCTTTATCCCTTATACATATTTTCAGGTATAAAAAGACTGTAAAAGCATTAAATTCAGGTGTTTTGTTTTAAAGGTTATTTCTCCAAATATCTTCCAACCTCTTCTTAGTCTTTTTCAACTGATGTATCCGTTCTAGTGTGATGAGATTAGCTTTACAAGAACTAAGTGACCTGTATTTGTGTTCTTATTAAGAGGGAAAACTCTTCTCATTTCACAGGAGATGCTCTGCAATATTGGACCCTAAGTACATGCATCGCTGGACGGCATCTGCACATGCAGACGAAACACAACATGGGAGCAAGCACTCACTTTAAACAGTAAGTATTTTTATGCTTAGGCAGCTGACATTCAGTTTTGAAGAGAGTCACAGAGCAATATCTCTTCACCATACACACAGTGGTACAGGCATTCACTGCACTATTAAACCACTTGATACCTGAATAGAAAACATTCAGTAATCATTACAAAACCCTTAGACAACAGAGACTGAAATCTGTCAATTCATACAGAAGAACAAAGCGTTTGTCCCTTAGTTTATTGATACTGCAACTGTCTAAGCTCTCACTGACGGAAAACTGGATGTTAAATAAATTGGTACAACTGAGATGCCAAACTAGACATTATCCAGAAAAAATAGCAGCTCTAAGAAATAAGAAATTGTACCAAAGCAAGAAATGTTGCAAAAGAAAAAAAAAAAACAAAAAAACAAACTTGTCAGAGCAAGAGCCAAAAAAGTGAAAATAAGTTGACAGGATTGGCAAGGTCTGAATATCTTTCAAATTACGTTAAAGTGTGTCCAACCTACTCAAGAAAGGTTAAGAGGCAGGGGTGTGGAGCAGGGGAAGAGAGCCTAGCACACCATGCCCAGCAGTTCTGAGTTCTGCTACCGATCGAGCAGTGACATTGCACCCCACACAGCTGATACAAGTTTACTGTTCAGAAAGCAGAAAATATTTTCCTCTTTATATGCAAATCGGATTATTTCACTTCTTCAAAACGCTTCTCCGTGTTTCCACCTTCAGTGCGCTACCTAACATCCTAATTGTTCTACGAGATACAAAACATGCAGAAATCATTTCAACATCTAAGCTCGCTCTAATGACTTCAAGAGGTTCCTGTGACGCACATCAAATAGAAGTTCTGCAGAGGCTCTAAATTTCTTACTCAGTAGACTTTTGGGTCTGGTACATGTACAGATTCTGTCATCAGAGTTATTTCTGCTTGTATGAGCATTTTCTAGGGTACTGCAAGATCAGTAACAATAATCAACATAAATTGTTAAAAAAAACTATGGCAGCAAAACACAGTCTTGCAGACAGAGGATTACAACTGTTGGAACCCAAGATCTGCAGCGGTAATTTTTAAAATTAAAATGCAATAATAACAATTTTCAAAGAAAATAAAAACAAACTCCATAAAAATGAAAGAAAACTGCTTCTTACTGAATACTTCACAAACTGATTTATGCTATTTCAACAGGTGCTTCTGGATTGGTAACCCCAGTTCTAAGTCAGATAAAGACCAGGATCCTTTGAGCAGAATTTGGATTTACTTGTAAGAGTAAGAACTGCAAAAAAGTTAGAAATTACACATCCTTAAAGAATGCAACTACAACATAATTCAAAGAACAGCTGTAGGCTCTGTGTGTGTATAAACGATTATACACACACAAAACTCCTTGATTTTAATGGTACAAACAAGCCCTTTGGAGATTACATCTAGCAGTCACCAATCAGAAAGACTGCACTCATCAGGACATGTTTCCTTGAGCTGTTACATAGGGTTAAAAAAGCCAAAACAGTTTGTTGGTTTTGCTTCTACAGCGACATTACAGCTGGTATGGACCAAGTCAAAGCCCATGCCTGAGGCAGTCTACACAAGAGAGAGTCCCTCTTATAACCTGACTGCCCGCCTAAGATGCCCTTAGGCGTTTTTTGTCTCATTAATTCCTAAAAGAAAACTGTTCCAAAATCTCACAGCTCCAATGATATGGAAATTTCTTCTAATTCCCAGCCTCAATTTATCCACAGCCCAGCTTGTATCCATTTGTTCTGGCGCCAGTGTTGGCCATTTGCTTAAACCATGCTTTCTCTTCTTGGTGTTTACAATCCAAATGTATTTATAGGCAACGATCATATCCCCGCTCACCATTTGTTTGGCTAGACTTCACAAGCCTAGTCCTTCTCCTCTCGTCTAGGATGATGCCCTTCTACCCCCTTAATCAAGTCTAACAGTTTACTGCGCTTAAAGAAGCCCAAGCTCAACTCTTCTGTGGGCGATCACAACTGTACCCCGTGTGCTACTGGAGGTCTCCGTCCCCACTGTGTTATGCCAACTTTCAGCAGCAGTATGCGTGCTGGAAATCTCTCCTAATGAAGTCTCGCATGACGTGTGACGCTACTGTATGGCCGTTGTCACACTGCCAGCTGATCCTTTGATGAACGCGTAAATCTGAAGTGTAAATAGTCTCCCTGAAGCATGTGCTTCGGTCACGCTCAAGTTTATAGTAGGACTTCTTTCTCTGAGTCACAGCACTTGTTACTTCAAGCCTCAAGGTCCTCAAGTTCTTTACGATATCCTGGTTCTCTGCAATTAGCCATGTCCTCCATTCTGTGTTTTCTCACTTCATTTCCTCCTGCCCCTCCAAGGTTGCTCTAGATGGCTGTGACGCAGGAGAAAACACCCTCTATGTAGCTATTAGAAGAGCAAAAATTGAAGCAGCTTAGAGCTTACGAGGACCCTCCTAAGGCTCATGTCACAGCCAGACCCCCCCTCTCCTAGACTGGAAAAAGCCAACGGTGTGTGTTTTTGTGTGTGCAGACAGAGAGCTGCTACTACTTTAAGGACTCATTAAATAGGGGCTAAAAGACAGCTGAAGTGGCTCAGACATTTGTGTTTCAAAATCACAGTGTTTCATTTGGGAAGCAGCTTTTCACTTCATAATCATGCATATTTTATTAACTCAGCTAGTCAAGACTGTAATTTGGACTCTAAGAGCACCGGTCTGGACCCATTACACTACATTTTTGCGCCCATCTAGATTATGGCTTGGCACTAGGAGGAGATGGAAAAGTATTGGGAAGCTTGGGAATGTGCTCAATAAAAGGAAAAATATTTCTCAGCTATGGCTTAATGCTGACACTAGCCCTTTCCACAGGCAGTTATTTACCCATCATATGGGATATAGAACAAACAGATGCAAATGACAAATCTTTTAGAATTTCTTTCTAGTGCTTGAGCCTCTCCTAGGATTATGGACCAGTTAGCAAGAAAATCCATTGCCAAAAATGTAATATTCTGCAACTGTGCACTATTTCACATTAATTTGATAATTAAATTATGTTACTGCTTTTTGCAACTGGCCATGTGATTGAAGTATGCCAAAAAGGCAGAAAATAATAGCAGAAAATCTGAAGTTAGAAACATTCGGCATTGATGAATGTTAATAATGCCATTTACAGATTAAAAAAAAAAATAATAGTGAAAGTTTCTGTATTTTGGAATTATTTGTATAAATTATAGTTCAGTCATTACATATACTAAGTGCACACAAGGAAGTCTGACAAGCTTGTCAATGAGTAAAATCAAAATTTGAACTAAATCTGAATATAACACATGAAACTGAAATCCAGCATAAATGTGAACAGTTCTGGAAAGTGAGACAATCTTTAGAAAAAAGAACTGTGCACAGGAGTAATTTACTGATCACTTACAGAAGCACACCCAGTGGCGGATGCATGAGAGAAACAGGGAGTATACGTCATTTTTTCATCATTTTCCATAATGAACTTGATTGATACATTCACCAAATCCTAGCACAATTTTATCACAAAGATATCAACTCATGTCAATTTGAGTGAGAGAACATATTTAACAAGCAAGCCAGACATTTCAGATCAGCCCAAGCATGTGGCAGCCAGACAATACTCCTTCATGGTCTCTCGTGAGGAAAGGCAACATTTGATACAGAACAAGCAGGGTTAGCTGCGTACCTTCAACAGCCGTTCCTGCTTTCATCAGGATACAGTTGTGCTTTTTGGGAAGAAAGGAGCCGAGATAAAAGTTGAAACACAGGACATGAGTTGGCTGCTTCTGTTACCAAATGATTATGTGGCCCATCTGCATAATTTCTATGCCTTCAGACTTGCTTCCAGGTGAAGCTACAGCACACTGCTTGTTGAAAGCCTTTTTCACACCCTCTTCAATGAGCTGACATCCTTTCCAATCACAACCGCTCGGACAGGTCTTTCTGCTGTTCTTCAGCCTCACAATGACTACTCTGCTTTCACAACATGCGAGGTCTCCAAGGCTCTTTGAAAATAGATGACACTCTAGCAGGAGACATTTCTATTTCAAAGAATTTAACAAATCTGGAGTACTGACTACTGAAGATTGAAATACTTTTTAAACATCTTCCTATCTATTTTTTCACCTTATTTCAGCAGCAGGCTATTTTAGCCATCATGCCAAACATCGCAGAGTCACCAATGAGACACACATGCCTCATATTATTTGGGGAAGAACTCTTAGCATCTTATTTATTTTTTACAAAAAAGTGTAAACATATTGTAACATGCTAAGAATAGAACAGTGAGGCCTCCTCTTCCTTGGTCATCCAAAGATACACTACTCGATTTTACTATGAGAGACTGATCTCAGAGGTTTGTGGATCAAATCTAGAGTATAGCAACATAACACAGTATGTAAAATGCCAAACTACTTCAATGCTGAGACAGAACATATTTATATATTACATATTGAATACGACAATATACCATAATTTTTAAAGAAGACTTCTAGAAAATCATCGCTAGAAAGCGCTACGTTTCATCTGGTTCTAGAAACTACATGGTATTGCATTTCTTGGACTTGGAGTTCAGTGTGTCATCTCCAAAAAAATATGTCCCAGTGTCACCAACAGACTTGAGATATTTTGCACATCT